GGAAGTGTGTTTGTTTCAATGAAAATTTAATTAAAAATGTGTCATTCGGATTTAATAATCTCCCTACATGTTGGCCAACGACGGCAACATCACATTTTTGTACACTTCGTCCACACCTTGGATTAAATGTAGAGTTTAGAATGAAATTTAGAAAATATTTAAGGCAACTTCTGCAACATCTCCCTGGAAACTTGGTCATCTCTTCTCCACGGCCAGTTGTTCTGGTGTGCATGAGCTTATAGAGACTGCGCTGCCTGAGAAGTGGGGATTTACAGGAAGAGGAACTTGTTTTTAAGCCTGTAAAAACTCAATGTGGAAACAGGAAGGAAAGAGGAAAGCTCTGGGATTAGTCAAGAATGTTTTGTTGGTGTGAAATATGATGATATATTGCTGTGGCAGTTTTTCATTTAGCTGGTTGTCTTTTAGAACATGAATAACGTTGGCTTGACCCGGAGTCACTTGCGCTGCTCCTACTTTTGCAAGCGAGCACGAGCTAGACAGTAGTCTCCATGTTGATTCAGAATGGACTCACTAAGGTCTCCTTTGATTCTCTTCATTCTCCTCCAATTTTGGTTCTTATGCAACAAAGCTTGGGGACTTATTCACGAGTGAGAGAATGCTTGAATGCGAGATCAATAGGTGTACTGGTGCTGCATCTGTAGTGATGCGGACGTTGAACTGCTATGTCATGGTAAAGAGAGAGCTGAGCCAGAAGACAAAGCTCTTGATTGGTTGATGTAAATTCCAACCCTCGCCTATGGTCTTGAGTTTTGGGTCTTGACAAGATCGCGGATAAAAGCAGTCAACATTAGTTTTCTCTGCAGGACATAGGGTGAGAAGCTCAGCCACCCGGGAGGGGCTTGGAGTAGACCTGCAGCTCCTCCACATCGAGAGGAGCCAGTTGAGGTGGCTGGGTCATCTGGTTAGGATACCTCCTGGACCCCTCCCTGGTGAGGTTTTCTGGGTATGTCCAACTGGGAAGAGACCTAAAGGAAGACCCAGGACACCCAGGAGGGATTATGACTCTCAGCTGGTCAGGGAACGCCTTGGGATTCCCCCGGAGGAGCTGGCCCAAGTGGCTGGGAAGAGGGAAGTCTGGGCCTCTCTGCTTAGGCTGCTGCCCCCAGGGACCTGATCCCGGATAAGCGTATGAAAATGGGTGAATGGGTGGATGAATCAAAGCTTTCTCTCTTTTTCTAAATCTTTGTTTGAAAATCCCCAGATTAGCTCCATTTTCCTCGAGCTGGACTTTCTCCCGCACACACAAAGTTCTCACCTATCCTTCAGCAGCTGGACATAACTGAGACAATAACAGACCAGCACATACGAGATTTTCAAGGTTCAAGGGTCAATTTTTGCCATCAGGTACGTGTGGTCTGTGCTGTTTTAACCATATTATCACTGCCTTTCAGAATGAAACTCACCCAGTTAGAGTCTGCTTTTGCACAGCAGAAGAGCTGACCTGCTGTTGCCCTGACTAATGCTGCAGTGCAGAAGGACAGGGTTTATCCCAGAACCAGAGCCTGTCTGTGAGACACTCAGGATGAAATATTGCTCATAGACCCAAATGACACTGAAAAATCTGTAAAAACAGGCACGCTGAGGAGAGTGTGAGAAACAGAAAGCCACACACGGATTCTTCTTCTCTTCATGTGCATCTGGGTTTCTGCAGAGTTCACTGATTGTGTTAGTCTAAAGGTTTTTTGCTGCCGATCAGTTGTGCATTTAACAAACTACCAAACAAACAAAAGTCCAACGGATTTTTCATTTCACCGATCAGAGCTGCATTTGGGGAGGGTCACCAGCTCTCTGTGCTCGGCTCACACTGGCTAAGCTGCTTTCTGTCAGCTGTCGCAAGCTTTTCTCCAACTTTCACCTACTCAAAAAACAAATCATAAAGCTCTTCGACCCGTTTGATAAACCAGATCCATTAAATCTGATTTAGATTACATGTTAACGCCTGACCAGGAAAAAAAAGAGAAAGACAAACAATAGAAAAAAGAAAATGCTCTGGCTCTGTGAACTTTCTCAGAGGCACACGGAGCTCATGAGATGACAGCACAGGGAGTGATCTCTGTTCAACTTTCTCAGGGACATTAAAAAAGGAGAAAAAAAGAGACGGCAAGTGTGGTCCAGAGAAGAAAAGTGTGAAAGAGAATTATTAGCTGGTCTGTAACATTGCACATGTCAAGGTATTTATTAGAGGATCTGGTGAGCAGAACAATGCACCGAAAAAGAAGGGTGGTGTCGCTTTAAGCGTTCTGTTTTCATTTATTTTACCCGTTTCCTGTAAGTGCTGTTGTCATTCCAGTCAGATTGGCTTTGTTTTTTTGTTTCTTTAAGAAAATCATCTGCAGCAGCCTGCTGTAATTGTGTGTGTGTGAGCCTGAATTGCTTTAAGTGCTCCCATCACACCACATCAGTGCAGGTTGTAACTTCTGCCTCCTTAACAACGCTTGACCTGGCAGCAGGTTGTCAGCCTGGCATGAAAGGAGCTCTGTCGTTGCAGCTCCTGCCCTTTTCCTTCCGCTGTCATTAACATATGTCAACACGGGCAAACTGGTGGCACACAAATAAACTCTGTCAGCAGAGTCTGAGATTTGCAGCGAGCTGCAGCGGGGCAGTGTTTTCCCACCGACTCCAACTGACTGTCCTCCCTGTTAGCGTTCTGAACCTGTTAACTTGACCCTCCCCAGCCGCGTGCCCCTCCTTCCCTCTCTCCCCTCGGCACCTACTATTTGTCCGAAAACAGCTGCAGAGTAACGTTAAGTACTGCATGATGTGCTGCTAAATGCTCCCCTCTGAATGTAAGAAATTCCTCACGTGTGAGTCTGAAGAGCCTAGATCATCATTTCCTGTGTTCCACAGAGGCCAGAGGAACATTTAGCAGTTGCTATAGCTGCACTGGCTGGGAGGAGAAAGAGGAGGGACAGTGAAGGTTCACCTCCAGGGTGTTGCAGGAACTGCTGTGTTTGATTCCAGGCACAAGTTAACATTTTCAGGATTGAAAACCCTTTAAGTCAGGGGTGTCCAGGGCAAGTTTCCAGCAGGTTTTAGTTTTAACTCTGCTTAAACACACCTGATTTCAATCAGCGGGTGATTAACAGGCTTCTGCAGAGCCTGATGAGCTGCTGCACAGGTGATTCACCGCTGAATTAGGTGTGTTGGAGCAGAGAAACCACAAAACCTGCTGGTTACCCTAGGATTGGACATGCTCGCTAAGTGATATTCTTCATAAATGAATTACATTTTGACTTAAAACAGACTTATTCTCTATTAAAACAAATAATAACAACAATGGATTAGATTTATATAATACTTTTCCAGGAAGTGCTTTCCACACACTATCGTGTTACCACACAGCCCGTGATGGTGAGCTGCTTCATAGCCACAGCTGCTCTGAGGCGGTCTGGCAGAGACAAGGCTGCCATTTGTGCCATCAGCTCCTCTGACCACCACCTACATAGGCAAGCCGGGTGAAGCATCTTGCCCAAGGACACAACAGCAGCATCTACCTCTTGAGGTACTGCTTTCCCATATAATAAATAAATGAATAAAACAGGGTCTTTACATAGTAAAAGTTAAATCATCTGAATGATGCCAGTGTAGCTAAACATGAATCAGCTTCCATCTTTAAATCTCGCCTGTTCAGTTCTTTGTGAATTTTGTCTTCATGGTAACTGGCTTGTATTTGATATATCACCTTCTACGGTATTAGAACCCCCAAAGGCACTTTACAACATAGTCGTGTGTGTGTGTGTGTGTGTGTGTGTGTGTGTGTGTGTGTGTGTGTGTGTGTGTGTGTGTGTGTGTGTGTGTGTGTGTTGGGATATTTTTGTGTGGCCCCCTTTCCAGGTAACTTTTTCCAGATCCTCCACTGAGAGCAAGATTTGATGCTTTAATGCTCTTAATTTGCTTCCCTTCACTGAACATTTGAAGGGTTTGAAATCTGACTTTTAGAAAACTGTCAGAAACCAAAACTTGCTAAATTTAAATATGATAGACAGTTGTGAAACAAATGGGGAGTGCAGCAACATAATGTAAATACAAGCACCAGATGAGTTAAAGATGGGTTTTCATTGATTTTTATTTATTATTTATTTATTTATTTATTTATTGTCTTTGAGGAACAATCTCATCATTCAACAGAGTAAAAGGTTCACAAAGATGCATTCCTGCAAGTAGATGAGCCTGTTTTCATCCCTGGGCTCATTTAACAGCAAGATTGACATTTTTGAGAGAAGAAATGCATTTTTACCTCAACGCAAGATTAACACATCAGACAAGTTTTCTCATGTGAACTGGATCAAATCTAAAAATAGAGACAAACAAATCAGACAGCATGAATATTCTCTGTGATAAACAACAATAAGCATTCACCTTTCCTTTGTTAGCACTGAAATATAAACTTGGCTGGAAATCATGAGACAATGTGAACAGATGGATGCCTTTTTCTTCTGAAGCACGAAGAAACCTGGAATAACACATGAAAAATGTGTCAAAACTTTCTATCTGGTCTGGTGGTGCTTATCTTTTTAGCTATATAATTAAATTTCCATGGTGGGTAAAAATAATGTACTTTTTTATTTTACTTTATTACAAAAGCTGTATTAACTTATTATTTCCTCAAAATCAATGTTTTTTCTTGCAGCCAGGTGCTAATGTGGGACGTTTTCACACATTTGATTCAAAGTGTAAATTTGATCAATCTCTAAAAGCAACAACATTCAGTCAATAAACACACCTGTCACTTTTTTGTTGTCTTCACACTTGAGTGTCACTAGTAGAAGCACACGCCTAAGAAGGCTGATGTTTTACATGCTTACGTCTGAGAGAATAAGCTGAGTTGACTTTCACTTTACAAACATGTAATAATTAATCTGAGGCAACTCTTCAGTCACTCATAAAGTATCACTTAAACATGCTGATTTTGCAGGAAAAGAAACTAAAATAAGGTCTGCATATGTAGTCAGACTCTCGTCTCTCTTTAATGCCCACAGAAACCACTGCGCCTACATGGTCCAGAGAAACATCACATGCATCATGCAGGATGGAGTGGAAACCTACGTGAAGGCAGAATATACCACAAAGTGCATCTGGGGCCAGAAATGTCCTGTTGTCATGTGAGTCAGTCAGTAGAAACCAGAAAAACGCTATGAATCATCTTCTAAACAGCACGGTGTGTTTGATTGTGACATTCATATGAATTATAGTTTATTTCAAGTTGCTAACTAAATGTTATGTGTTAGTGCTGCCCTCTAGTGGTGAGAAGAGTTTCAGCCTCCATGTTGGATGTTTTCTAATACTAACAGTTGTCTTTTCAAGAAAAACTAATGTGTTCTTAGTTGGAAGATTGAGATCAAATATTACATTTTTGTCATTTTAGAATAAAAATGCTTAAGATTTGTTTCTTGGTTATCAATTATTTTCTATTTCTAATGAGGTCCTGCTCCTACTATCCTTATGACTTGGTGAATAACTTGAATTATCAAAACACACTTGGCACAGAAAAGATCAGGCACCAGTCTCCAGTGCACAGTTCATAATTTAATTTCTCAATTTAATTTGGCTGTTTTAGTCACAGACCTGATAATATATTATCTGATCTTGCAGCGACTTTGCTCTCTGTCACCCCGTGCATGTACTTAAAAAGCCCACACACGGGGAAAATGAAAGTGGATTTTATCTTTTAAAAAGTTCAATCTGTGCAGGCATGCTGGGAGACAGAGGGGGAGTCTGATTTTAAACAAGATAAAATTAAAGTTGGGTGCTGACCCGCATCCAATCCTCTGATGTGGCGCCATTTACACCACACTGTATCTTTATCTCCTAATCTTCCTCTAATCCATGTTTAATCCCATAGAAAAAAAACTTCATCTATTTTGTCTGTGCGCTGAGGAGCTCCCATCCCATTCTGCTTCATGTAGATCAGGTTAAAAGACGTATTTTATGTACACGGACATTAAACTCATTGTTCTGCCTTTTCTCCTCCTTTAGGTACAGAACATTTTTTATGCCCAAGTACAAAGTAGGATTTAAAACTGTGACAGAGCTCGAGTGGAGATGTTGTCCCGGGTTCTCTGGAGAAGCATGCCACGATGGGCCGACATCACTACCTGACATCATAGGTCCAAGTTTACCCCATCGTCCAGGAATCAAAGGCTTCCCCCATGGCCCACGAGCCCCTGTGGACCAGAAGCCTGAAGGAGGTCAGCTAGAGCCTGGCAAACCTTTCCCTGATGTTCCGACTGGACAGCTGCTTCCTGGGAGAGGAAAACCTAACTACGGTGAGAACTCTTTGGCCTGAATTTATTTTTGAGTCCGTCACCTGCTTACTTGCTTTTTAAAAAATTCCAGGAAACAAATTCAGCACCACAGGTGTCACAGGTGAACGTTTGGACCGCATGGAGGAGGACCTGCGCCGCCTCACTCAGAGTCTCGACACCCTGAACGGGGTGGTAGTCGGTCTGGAGGACCGACTGCGTACATCTCTCCGAGAAGACACCAATAAAATTCTTGTGTCACTTCTGCCCAACACTCCACGGGTGCACGACGCCACAGTGGGATTTGGTGTGATCCCAAATGGGACCCCTGATGGTCTGGAAGGAGGAGAGACCTACCCTGGATTTGGAAACTTAGAAGGAAGAGTGACAGAAGTGAGGGATGAGCTGCGAGCCAAAACACACATTCTGGAGGAGATTCAGGTGTTCTGACTTGGTGCTCGATTTCCCTTCTGTCTGTTCGTACATCCCTCTTTTCATTCACCAACTCTCCTTACTCTTTTCTCTTGGATGTGTGTCATCAGGGAATGGTCCTAGGACATGATGGCCAGCTGAAGAAGCTGTTGGAGAAAGCCACGGGTAAACCCATCCATGAACTTGACTCTGTCTCTGTTCTGGAGGAAATCTTGGACGCTAGGCTAGCTCGAGTGAGAGCTGACATCCTGGATGGTTTTGAACAACGTCTGATTGGCCTGGAGAACAACTGTGATGCGAAGATTGGGGAGGTGAAGAGGCAGTGCCACAGGGAGCACATGGATGGTCAGGAAAAGATGCAGCAGTCTCTGGATGGCAGAGAAACTGGGATCAGAGAGGATTTGGGTTCTCTCCAAGCTCAGATTCAGGGCCTAACTCTCACTGAGAGCTGCTGTGGACAGGTATGAGTCATTTCAGTCCAACATAAATCCCATAAATGTGTAATTTGTCACATAGTACACAGTTAGTACATAACCATGAATCTTTCTCTAAAATCCAAAAAAAGTAAAAATGCCAAATCATAAAACCCCTTTCATAAAGTTCATTTGGTGAAACGACATAATGATGCATGACTGCATGGTCCATCGAGTGTCTAATGGATTAAATTATTGAAAATTACAGGTGAACAGCTTGTCTCAGCGCATGCTGCTGCTGGAGGAGGCGGTGAAAGATTTGACAGAATCTCAGAGCCAGCTTCAGACAGACCTCACCGGACAATGCATCCAAATAGAGACCCTAATCGAGACCCGGTTGGCGGACATTGAGGGCAGACTCAATGCTACCTTTGGTGGACCAGATGGAGTTGATGGGCTTCCTGGTATTCTTGATGGCTTTAGGACTGTGCTGGAAGACAAGCTTAAGACCTTGGAGGAGAGAGTGTTTGTTGCTGTAGAGGAACTAAGTAATGCCACCAGTCCGGCTCTTCTGGAGGGTCAAGTGGTCCCTGCACTGGAGACAGAGATCGAGTCTGTGAGGAGAAGAGTGGAAGGAGACCTGGGTGGAATTCAGAAGCAGCTGATTGATCTAGAGCTACTTTGCACCTCCTCTTGTGCACCATCCACCCCACCAGAAGGGGGTATTGAGGGTACTGCAGTAGAAGAAGAGTGCAAGGGAATGGGAAAGAAGATGACGGACCGTCTAGACTCCCACTCTGATCAGCTGGAACACCTAAACAACACCTTGCACAACCTGCTACTCCGGATTGCTCAGGAGGACACAGAGGGCACCGTCCAGGGAGAGATCACGCTGTTAAAGGTCAACATCAACTCTGTGAATCGCACCCTGAAGGGCCTAAAGGACTCGATCACTTTTATTGCAACTGAAGTAGGTCATGCTAACTCATCATGGGAGCATAGAGAGCATCAGCTGGTCAACCAGGTGCAGGGAATCACCAAACTCATGGGTCATCAGGCCTCCCTTCTTGGAGCTGGTGAGAGGCGGCTGATACAGCTGAAGGGAGAGCTGGCGGCCTTAAAGAGGCAGTTGTCAGGAGGGCTGCAGGGCTGCCGCAGCACGGCGCTGGAGGTGCACAAAGAGGTGAAGGATGTTGGCAGCAGGGTGAGCCAAGTGGAGGGCCAGTGCAGCAGCCTGGGGCAGCTGGCAGAACACCTGGAGAGGATCAGGGCAGAGCTGGAGAGGCACTCTGACTCCTACCTGGCCCAGATGAATGGGACCCTGGCCATCCATTCAGAGCAGCTAGCTGAGCTGAAAGGAGAGATCAAAGACTGCGCAGCCAAAGAAGCCACCGACCAAAAGGAGACAAGTAGCAACTGAGCTGCAGGTTTTGAAAGAAAGACTCTCTGTATGTGTTTTTAATTAGTCTCAAGTGTCTTCCTCTGCTTCTGTCCTCTCCTCCCAAACCATGTCTGCACAGATACAAATGAACTCAAATGTAAAAGTGATCCCCCTTAACGTTCTTGGCCCAGTGCCTCCAGTTGTGCTGGGGATCTACTTAGCTGGTTTGAACCGAGGCAGAAGAAAGGGGCACGTATGTGGATGTAGAGCTTGTCAATAGTTCCCTGAAGTATTCTATAGGGCATTTTTTATTATAATTGTTAAGTCATTTTAACTTTTTTAACTTATATGAAGTGACTGCATTGTTTTGGTGTAAAAATACATTTGTTTTGGGATTGATAACGAATCAAAATGCTGCTACGGGTTTCTGCTGACTCGCCATCATTTGTGTGGACACTAGTCTCTTCCATTTAACAAAATACTGTATATGTCGACCTGGTGCTATCTACATTTTTGTAAATCTCTGTTTTACACACGTTTCAGATCAGCTTACTTAGATCTGCTTATACGATTGTTTGTATTTCTTACTTTTCTAAGTCTCAAACAAGCTCCATGCTTCACCACGAGGAGACGGTGGAAACACATTACGTGGCATGGAAGAAGAAAGAGAAATAAAATCTCAAGACTGAGGCTAAGAAAGAAAATGTGTCCAAACTTAATGTTTGACTCGTCTAATTTTGCACCCAGATAAATGATTTGGCTGCAAATGCAGATCAATCTTTATAAAAGAACATTACATATGACTTATTAACTGATTGAAGAAGCTCAGCATCCTGAATGCTGTGGATGAGTGAGACGACGTTGTCTTCACCAGGTAATGAGATAATGTGGGGTTTTATGCATCTCATTTAATTTACCAACAATTTAATAGCTATACATGAAATGGGTCAAAAAGCATGTATCTCAAAGGTGTGGTTCACTGAAAAACCATTTTTAATAATTGTTTTTTATTCTAATTAGTCACTCTGACTTTTCCATGCAAGCTGAACATTAAAATAGTCTCCTACACCTATCTCCTGCATTAGCTTCTGAATGAAAAAAGAAATAGTGAAGCGCTAGGATTTGAAAATCCTGACAGATCTACGTCACACTGTCATTAACACTCATGAACTCACCCACCTTAACTTGCAATGGTAAACGGCCTGTATTCGATATAGCGCCTTCTGGAGGCCTGGAACCTCCCAAGGCGCTTTACAACACAATCAGTCATTCACCCATTCACACACTGGTGGGAATGAGCTACAATGTAGCCACAGCTGCCCTGGGATGCAGCTGACAGAGGCGAGGCTGCCGAGCACTGGCGCCACAGGTCCCTCCGACCACCACCAGCAGGCAACGTGGGTTAAGTGTCTTGCCCAAGGACACAACGACAGCGACAGACTGAGCGGGACTCGAACCTGCAACCTTCCGATTATGGTGCGAGCACTTAACTCCAGTGCCACTGTCGCCCACAATGGGCAAGGCTGTTGTTGGTTTAGAGTCCAGGAAGCTGCAGAGAACGTCTCAGCTATTAGAAGCTAACTGTCAGCATTAGGAACTCCACCACACGGCAGAACTCTTCCAGGCTTGTGTTATTTGTGGAAATAAAGCATATACCATGCAAAGCACACAGAGTCAGTGGTAGAGTTGTGTTGCATTTAGCCGATCCGAGGCAAGATGTACACATATCAAAAAATAAGAGTCCAAAACCTGCCGTCTGAAGCTACTTTCTCCTCTAGCTGACTTGTACTTCCTGATTCGGGCGCATCTAATCTTTTTTTCCATAGACATAAATATGTTAACGCCCCACTGGTCACTGGAGAGTGTAACAGCATCACCGCCATATTGGGTGGGTCTCTTCACTCCCCAAAGCCAGCATGTGTCAACACAGGGTGAGTAACTATGCCCATTTACGTGCAGCCTACAGTTGAAACAACCGGTGTACAATAGAAAACAGATCATGTGGGATTACTATTGACTGTTCTAGGCTACCTGCTGGGATTTTATATTTTAATTTACTTAAAAATTTTTAAATAATTTGTTAAAAAAACACTGCTCACTCACAAAAAAGAACTCACCCAAGCATTGACCTAGGATGGGTTTGGCACAGACAGGGTTAAAATAAGCTTCATCATACATTCATTTAGTGACTGTTACCACAGAACCAGGAGCTTAAACACGTTTAAAAGAATAACAAACCTAATTTCCAGGCTGCACTTAGCACAGATTTCACATGATATCAGCATTCAGGCAGCACCTGTCATTTATGAAGAGCTTGTCAGTGTGTAATTGAGACCAGAAGTACATCATTAATAAACATGTGCAGCAAACAGGTCAGAGGAATGTGAAGAGCGACTGCACAGCCGGCTCAGATTTGGCTAAATGAATGCACAAAGGCAATGGTTTGGATTTAATGAAATCCTTCCAAATTGGCTGTCTCACAAAAAAACACCAGCTCACAAGTCTGTGGTTATATGAAGTCAGATGACTGAATGAGATCATTAGCAGAAACCGTGCAAGAGATAGAAGTGTTTGCAGAGTCAGACACAAACTGGAACTTAATAACAATGAATGGAGCTGTGGGAAATGAGCTGTAAAATTTAGTTGATCTTGCACGCCGGACGCTCCGTCAGCAGGTCTTCTGCACAGAGTCAGCACATAGTTTGTAAAGACAACATCTCACTCCAGCCAGAACGGGATGAAATAATTTTAGCAAAAAGAAAGCCAGAGACCTGACATAAAAATAAAAGTGCTGAAGGCAGAACAGAACGAATGGGGAAGGTGGAGGTCACGAGCAAATATAAAAATAGAAAAACTGTAACGGGACACAGAGCAGTGTACTGCTCAAACATACGGAACCAGGACTCCTGAAACATGTTCGTTCAACTGATTTAATTTTTATTAAACATTTTCATCTCAGGCACGATCCACACTATTACCGGTAAACATGTTTCACTTTTACTATGAAACTGTTAGAATTCAACTTACCATTTCATATTCAGACTGCGTTTGAAAACACTGCCAAATGATGGATACATGATTTTTAAGATTAAACAAACCTCCTCTTTGGAAAGCCTTTTAAACGAAAGAAAGAGAACCCAAACTCACCTTCACCATAAATGTGTGGATTTACTGTAGAGGAAATGCTGCCACCTTCTGTGCTCCTTTACTAGACACGTATCCAGTGTGCTCCCTCACTCTTCATTTTTTATTGGACTTGCGCCAAATAACTTTTCCAACACCACCTCTGTGTCTGACACAGTGACTCATTGTCATATTCATCCTACCTCTACAGAGTTTTGTGGTTGGCTTTTCAGTTAATAAATCCTTTTATTTTTATGCTCATTTTAAAATGTGGTAACAAATATTGACTTGTATTACCTCCCATTCATTTAAAAATAACTATTTCGGGTCTGTTTTGTGTTTTGCAGGTTTGGCCGCGGCTCCGACCAGAGAATTCTGCTGTTGTGTCCTTGGGGAAGACACTTAACCCGCATTGCCTGTTGGCGGTGGTCGGAGGGACTGGTGGCGCCAGTGCTCAGCAGCCTCGCCTCTGTCAGTGCGCCCCAGGGCAGCTGTAGCTACATCGTAGCTCATCCCCACCAGCGTGTGAATGTGTGTGTGAATGAGTGAATGACTGATTGTGTTGTGAAGCGCCTTGGGGACTCATAGAACCTTAAGAAGGCGCTATACAAATACAGCTAACTCAGAATAGCTTTTTTCATCAAAGGGCTGGGGAGTGGTTTAAGACTGTCTACAGTAAAGCATGGTGGAGGTTCATATGTTTGAAGCCAATCAGGAGTAATGGTGTCCTCGCTGCTGAAAAATACAAATAGGTACCATCAGGAAAACATCCAACCGTATCCCAGTTTGACCTGCAGCAGGACAATAACCCAAAAGATTCAGCCATGAACATCCATCTTTGGCAGAAAGAACAAAGAGTCCTAGGAGTGATGAAGTGGCCCGCTTTAAACTCTGATTTCAGCACTTTTATCTCGGATTACATGAAGAGACACAAAAATATTACTAATACTATGATGATGATGATGATGATGATTGTTATTATTATTATTATTATTGTAAATGCCCTGTATTAGATATAGCACCTTTTAGGGTTCTACAACCCCCAAGGCGCTTTACAACCCTGGTGGTGAGGAGCTACAATGTAGACACAGCTGCTCTGGGGCACTCTGACAGAGGCATGGCTGCTGAGCACAGGCGCCACCGGTCCCTCCGATCACCACCACCAAGTAATCAGGTTTAAGTGTCTTGCCCAAGAACAACACGACTTGGACAGCCTGAGCAGGACTCAATCCCACAACCGTCCGGTTATTAGACCGGCATTTAACCCTTCTTCCACCATCATCCCTTATTATTAATCTCATCCAATCTTCACAGAAGATCTGCAGGTAATTCCCCAAGTTTTTTGGAGAGTTGTAAAAATTGTCATGTCGTTTTTGACATAGATCTGATTCTCCATGTTGTGTTTTACATATATAAACATAAACAATATTAATTTAACTCATTTTTACTTTGGAATATCTGTCCCCATACCTGCCTAAATTTTCAGCACTGTGTATTCAGGTAGGGTTTTGCATTTAATTATTTTCACAAAAACAACATGAGAGACAAAAACAAACAACATTTTCTAAATAAAATTATTTGATTGCATTCCATTTTGCGAGTATTTCCTTATATATTTTTTGCCACCTGAATGGTGTACTTCCGTCCCTTCTATAGGAAGACACGTGTTTTGTAACAGACCGTGTTTAAGACAGTCAGCACTCGGTGGCAGAATGAGGGTAAAACACAGTGGCGGCCAAAGACACACTTAAAATAATGTATTTTTCAAATATGCTCCCAAAATCTGAAGCCTGGCAGCTAGAGATATTTTGCCTTGATTCCACTTCCAAACATCAACACTTATTTTTTTACACACTAAACACATAGGTCAGCTGCACACTCTTCATTATCAGCAGCTCTGTATTATTCATTACAATTTCTAATTTGATAAACGTGATATAATTTTTTTAATTACCACTAAACAGAGCAACTTTGGCATCTGCTGATGTAAATCTCTGAGTACTGATGTTAAGTAATATAATTTCACTATTACTCAATAATAATAATATCCAGTAAACCTATCTGACATAAATATGCTTTTAATTCTAGTGACACATCTCTGATTTTTATTTTGTTTCATTTATTTGCAGGAAGAGTAACAACTATAGCAGCACATGAAGGAGGAGCAGTAGAAAGATGCACGTGAAAAGAAGTCCAGTTGAGATGGTGTAAGCAGACACAGTCAGAAGGACACTAAGCGAGCTAAGCGAGCAGTGTTGTGACACTCAGCTGAGAGTGAGGTGAGCTGAGAGAATTGGGCCTGACTCGCTGACGACAAATACTGGAGCTGATAGACAAGGATGCGACAAGCGCGGGGCAGACAGGGCACAGGGGATGGACACAGAGACGTGTCGAGCAGGATAAATAATGTTGGCGGTGGGTGAAGATGTGTTTACAGCCTCCCTGTTCCTCAGAAGTATGCAGCATATCCTGACATGATAAGCCACAACAGGAGCTTCAAATAAAACACAATCCTGCTAACTTCCACACACGTGTGAGCTAAAAACGGACAAACTGCAGCAGTGAAGGTCCACACCCCGGGGCCTGGCAGCAGCTGGATTGTCTGCTAAGTCTCAGGAAGCAGAATCCCTCAAAGGATTGTCCTGTTGGTGACCTGGGGAAGATGTGGCACATGTGATGATGGGATGATGAGAGAGAAGCAGAAAAAAAAGGTGTGGAGTGTTTAAAAATAAATATGAAAACATCAACATTCATGTGACTTCCCCTCGTGAGTTCTGTTGCTTTCTCTCCTCTTCTGCATAGTGTTTTCACACAATTACACACAAGCACACACTCTCCCAGGAGGCACTGCTTCTCCTTATTACTCTCATGGGATCAGACTGGATAAGAAAGCACCGGCCCTGATTTTGTGATGTCAACTCTGATTTCAAGCAAACCTTTGAAAGTTTGTGAACATTTTTAAATGCTTTTGAATGACCAATGCTGAAATTTAAAACTGAAAATGTAACCCTTTGAAAAGGAAAACAATGCGCTCAAGAGCAAATAAATAGGCATCTCTAGCCATTAAAATATCAGCAAAATAATAAATTATCAACAATAAATATGGATTTCTGTCTTGATTACTACAGTTAGAAAACATTTAATTTAGTGAACCAATCAGATTTGACCAGAAGTGGAAATCAGGGCTTGTTTGTTATTTTCATGTGTTTATTTTGTTATAATAAAAGCTTTTATTCTTTTGCAGTTAAGGGTTCATGAAAAGACCTCACAATCGCCTACCTTACCTAGTCTAATGGTTCATATTGAACAAGAAAACCAACAGTTTCCAACTCTTGTTCCAGATGGAAATTTAGATTTCTATCTGTAAATGAATGCGCCACCAGGTCTAAAGGAGCATTCGGTCAATATATAAATAAACATGATTAAAGAGTCCAGTTTTATTACAGTTTCATTGTTTTTGCCCTTTTGCTTACTGGATTATATTTAAAAATATTTCACCAGTTTCAAATGCTTTCTTGTGACGATTACAATATGCAATATGACAGTATATTTGAAGAGTATGTTTGGAGTACAGGTGCTTCTTTTCCAGAACTCTGCGGTTTGCTTGGGAATGTTGTTGATCTTTTTCCTCTCATTTTTTGAGGATTGAAAAAAAGTTCTCCATGGGTTTAAGGTCTGGGGAGTTTCCTGGACATCCGACCCAAAGTTCAGACATGATTGTGTTGCCTGAACCATCTAGTCATCCCTTAAGCCTCAGGGCATGGTACTCTGTGTAGCTGGAAAAACTGTTGTTCTTCGTCCATTTGTTTTTGTATGGTTCAGGAGTTCCTCTCAGAGAATGTTTTTTTATTATTCATGTCTAATCTGAGGTTAAACTGTAAATTCACTCCTATTGGTTTAGAAGAAACCCTAGAAATTATTCAAACTATTTTTGTAAAAGACCCATAACAAATCCCAGACGTTAAAGTAACAACAGGTAGTTTTTTAAACTTGAAGCTAGAGCTTTAAAATCGATCTCAGTGATTGTTGGGTTAGAAACTTGACCAGTTTCATATTTGACACCACCCTGCAGTCCTCTGATGATCAAAATTTGCACTTGATAGTTTTGTGGAGCGCGTAGGTGTTTCACGGGGTTCTCTTAACATGCTTTATGGCTGTTAGCTGTAATGCTAGTACTTAGCGTTTTCAGCTTGTCGATTGTAAAAATCACAAGAAAAAGAAGTTTGCTTTTTCTACTGGCATCATGGCGAAGCCTGGAAGTAAAAAGAGGTTGAGCACTGAGCTAAAACCGGAGGGAGCATTGGCGTGGCCTACACTAGTTTGAGGTAGTAGACACCTCAAACCTCAAACCTCTAGTAGTAGAGGTTTGAGGTCAAGCAATGGCTAGCTGACAACTTCCTCCATCTCAATGACTCCAAAACTGACTTAATCGTTTTCAGTCCTAACAGTATCACGGCAACTCAACAACCTGACCTCAACTATCTCTCACCTAATGTATCCTCTGTAATCTCCAACCTTGGAGTAAAAATGGACCAGGCTCTGAAGATGGATGCCCAGGTCAATAACACAGTTAAATCATGTTTTTACCAACTAAGACGCATCTCAAAACTAAAGCACATCCTGAGTGTACGTCTTCTGAAATCGGTGGTCCACACTTTTATCACCTCAAGGCTGGATTACTCTAACTCCTGCTTATATGGCATCAGTAAAGCAGCTCTCTCTAGACTTCAGCTGGTCCAGAATTCAGCAGCTAGGTTGCTGACTGGAGCTGAAAGACGACAACACATTTCTCCAATTCTGAAATCTCTCCACTGGTTGCCCGTGCAGTTCAGGATAAACTTCAAAATTATGCTTCTCACTTACAAATCCTTGAACCATCAAGCTCCTCCATATCTGTGTGAACTTGTCCATTACTACAACCCGCCGCGTGCTCTCAGGTCTGAAGATAAGCTCCTCCTAGCTGTTCCCAATGCACTTTTAAAAAGCCGTGGAGAGAGGGCTTTCTCTGTCTGTGCACCGAAGCTGTGGAACGCATTACCACTGCTAGTGAGGCTAGCACCAACAGCTAGCATTTTTAAATCACGCCTGAAAACTCACTACTTCAACCTAGCTTATACAACATTATTATGAACCTCACTGACATCTGCACTGTTTATAAACTGACTCCACAATTATCGACTTCCGTATTATTGAGGTTCTTTGTAAAATGTTTTTTTTTTTTCCTATTTTTACTTCACCCTGTGTCTTAATGATTTTTAGCTGTTTATTTTTGGGAATTTTGTTGTATTTCCTTTTTATCTTTTATCTGTGTTTGACATGTTTATATAACGCCTGTTTAATTAACCAACATTTTTAGTGTACAGCGCCTTGTTTGGTTGTAATGCCTTGTGAATGCGCTTTATAAATAAAATTGGATTGGATTGGAGGGAGCTGAAGGAGGCTACAAAATCAGACTGATAGTGACCTGGCTTTGTTGCTTCTAGACTTGTAAGTTATATATATATATATATATATATATATATATATATATATATATATATATATATATATATATATATATATATATATATATATATATATATATATACCGGAACTTTTTACTTCATAACCTGTTTTAGTATTAGTTTGCACATGTTAGTGTTAGCTCATTGTTAGTGCAAGCTATAGCAGGAAGCATAGTACGGTTGTGCATGACAGTTGTAATTCCACTTTCAATCAGTAGGGCGGGGGAGCAGGAAATTGCTCACTTTTACTTTAAATCCAGGACAAATGTTCTTAGGACCAGAAGCAAAAAAGGTGTAAAGAAGCCATCCAACACCCTAAAGGTAGAGCTTTTCAGTAAAGATTAATGGACTGTGTGAAAATACAGATAAGCTGTAAATAGTTGAACACAGTTTTGAATAGCTCACAAAGTTGAAGCTCAGTGTTTTAAAGAGCTAAAGACGATCGGAGGTTGCTCTTCTTGTTTAGACAAACACAAGAAAACCATATCTACATCTTAGAGGAACATGTGTGACATGGATCATCTACACCAGAAGAATGTGAAAATTTTCAGTTATTTAGACACATTTTGGATGCAGATTAAGATGCCCAGTAGGGAGGCCTGCCTTGAAACAAAAACTCAAGTGATGCACCACAGATGACATCAAAGCCTTTTGAGTGGCACAACACTCAAGGGATGCATATGGATGATTCATAATGGATGTGTGTCTGTGTTCCACACATGCCAGCAGAACTCTTGAGATCTTAAGAGCTGCCCTTTATGTGCATCTGCCAGCTAAGTGACACTGGTGTTAGCATACCATAGCCTTGTGTTTCTCAGACTCCATTAGGATGATGCTGTGCCAGCCGGGCTCCTTTCACGCTCACACTGCAGCTACTGTTAAGGCTCAGGTCAGAAGCTGCAGCGGTTTTGGTGACAACAAAAAGGCCAATTTGCAAAATGCATCATAATAAGAAGTCATCTTCCTTTTATCGTCAAGTAAGCCACAGTGAGAGATGTTGCAGAAATGATGTGTAACACACTAAAAGTAGCGTGTCCTTTCCCTGCCACATAGCATTTTCTGTTCTAAAAGCATAATTAAATCATTAGCTGTCACTTCTTTTAACCAGCAGAAAAGCACATATAATGTGCTAAATGCCCGCAGCTGTTCTGATTCAATGAATCTCAAGTGAACTCCTGCAAAAGCATTTCATTTTGCATTTGATTTTCTTCTCAGAGTGACGGTGACTGCAGCCAGGATCGGAACAAGCATCATCTTTGTCTTGGGGTTCCGGATGTGTGCTGGGCAACGTCTCAGAGAAGGCAGTTGGAGATGAGAGCCGAGAAGAGGACAATTAAGAGAGAGTTCACAAACCCAGAGGAATCTGGTCCCAAGATATTGGAATTTTATTAGAAACTGAATTGCAAGAGGCACAAGCTCGCTCTTGGAGCCAAAAACAGACAATACACTTCTGTTTAGTCTTTTAGTGAGTACGAGATGCTGTTTATGTCTCTAAATGCAGCATAGAGCATCTTTGTCATCATGCAAACTAAATCAAATCAAAGATGCCAACATCTATTTTACAGATTCTAACGAAGTCCAGTAGCACATTAAGTAATGAAATTCCCCCTACTTTTGTCACCCATCATCCACGTATGCTGTAGCAAAACATAGATTAAAAAATCATTTTATTTCTCTTATTTGAGCTATAGAATTGTCAGTTTATGGCTGAACTGTGGTCTGTTTATGCTGTTTGTGTGATTAATGAAGCACGATTTGAAAACAGAAATTGCAAACAGACATTGATCTTTACAAGTTTCATTTTATTGGTGTACTGACAATAACAATGATGGTAAAAAAGAAAATCTCCATCATACAAATTGTAATAATCAAAAGATAATATGCCAATACACAAACAGATCCACATAAGGCTGACATCAAGTTTGGACAAGTGGCTTCGAATGGCTTCAATTTCAGGAGAATTTTTTCCCCTCTCCTTGTGATCAAATAAATATTTAAATTTAGCTATCTGTGCCCTATTTTCTTTTAATTGGTAAATTTCATAAAAAAAAATAATTGAAGATTTTGGAGTGGATTGCGTCGCTGGTTTGGGTGCCTTTTGTTGTCTTGCAACATAAAACTTATTTTGTTTGGCTAAAAATTTATGTTGCGGTGCTTTCCCATGACCTCCACCGTACCCTCCAACCCCAACCCCCACCTCGAAGTGCTGTCAGAGACGCAGGAAACAAGGAAGTCCATTGGAAAATCACAGCGCCTCTCCCACTCCGTCATGAGGTCTTAATTCTGCCACAGCAAGTTAAGGATTGAGGGTGGGGGTGGGTCTCGGAAATGCATCTCTGAGATTGTGAGAGGTTTTTAACTTTATGGGAAAATAACTTTTTTTGTATCTCAAAGAAAAAGAAGAAAAAAAGTAAACACTAAAAAAAAAAGTTTGTGCTTGGAAGCGGTGATGTAAAAACATTGATGTCACTATGTAAGCTCCACAAGCACTTAAATGGCACCAGTAAAACCCCGAGCCAACCCCCCTCCCCGAAGCCTTGTTCTTTATGCTAGCATCTGTAGTGATTTAAGACCTTAATAGAATTTCTAAAACACTACACACAACAACAATATTTACAATAATCATTATCTTGATATGCACTCTTTTTTTCAAATTTAAATATTTCCGCATATAAAAAATAAAATAAAAACAAGTGGAAAAAAAAGTTATGCAATAAATTAAAAAGCTTTAAGGCTGCCAGTCTTGTCAGATGCCCAGAAGAATGGTCCCTTCATTTAAACTGGCACAGAATGAATCAGGACAGGTTCAGATTTCCATAAGATAAAGCCTCTTTTTTATTTATTTTTTTAGAGCAGCAGTCCCGGTCCGATTTTAGACCATGTTCATGCTGTTGTCACGGACTCTAAACTAAATCATTTACCGTTATATTTTTTGTCTTTGAGTAGAAAACCAGAGTGTGCGCTGACAGATTTGACCCCTCTTTCAAATGCTGGTCACAAAACGACGCTCTCAAACGTGACCTGATGCGACTGCTCGTGCTTTGAGGAGCCTAATACTGACTCTAAAAAAAACTCAAGTTTAGATCGAGGGGTTAGCTCACAGTCTGAACTGTCGCTTCATACCAAAACCATTTGGCTTTAACTACATGTCCGTCTAGCTTTTAATTTAAAGCATTCAAGTTTTTTTTCTTCTTTAAAGATCATTTACAGTGTATCATGTATGTGTAGGGAAACAGAAAGAAAACCTGCCAGCTGTAAATAACCAGATCAGCGCTGTTCTCATCAGCGCTGGTAAACAAAATAAAAAAAAGCTTGAACATGTAGATGGAGGATGGTTAGACCTCTGAGAGGTTTAGCCATTTCACTCAAACACACATGGAAAAGAAAACTTAACACAAACTGCTGCTGCTGTCCATGACATCCACTGGGCACCTCCCCATGTGACTAGCTGGGATAGAAGCACGCGTTTTGCACGAGGGAATGAAGTTCAGCTTTATATACATGAATAAGCTTCACCTGGAGGGTTGAATCAATGGAAGCTATCATACAAAAGTAAAACAATTATAGCTTCTGCGATGGTGAAAGTGGCCGGTCAGCACCATTGATTATCAGTTATGATAGAGGTGAACAGTGGAAGCCAGTGGCCATCAGCATTTATCTAACTGTGTCTTGCTCTTCCTGTGGTTGTCACACAAAATGGCCTCCTCCAACATGTCTGCTCAGGAGGTTAATAACGCGGGGCTACAGTACAGGCACCATTCCATTTCATCACAGCTGGCTCAAGTCACACCACGTCTGGAGAAGAAATCTGCATCAGAACTAAAAAATGGAATGCAGAACAGAGCCTCACAATCCCACACGAACACACACAGCTATGTTTCAGTGCATCTAAAACGGTCTGTCAGAAGTCACTTTCTAAGTCATCACGTCAACCGCAAGAAAAATAAGAACGATTAAGGAAATTATCCCATCAAATAAATAGAGCGAGGTCCAGCCTCTTTTTTTTAAACTTCTTATTTTATCGTAGAAACACAACAAATTAATCAATCATCCACGTGTCTACCTAAACATACGTCTGAAGAAATGCATACAAGGCGATTTGTGTGAAATTATGTAGCTGCAACGACTAGAGGACAGACGGTGAGGAGAGTACGTCGGTGTGATATAGATATTCACAAAAAAAAAAAGGAACTATGCTTAAAGTACTGGGAGCTTTCCCCAGTAATCAAAACACTGTCAAACACAAATTAGAGAGGAGCTGCTGTGTATACCAGAGGGTTGTCAGACTGTGTTAAAGCACAGTGTTAGGCTGCATGCCTCAGGAATAATTATAAAAACAAGACTAATAAAATCATAATAAATCAGCCAGATCAAAATCTCAAAGCCTGAACATAAAGCTAATCAGTGGTCATCACCTGACGTCTTTTTTTTTCTATGCAAGCACACACGTCAGTTAAAAAGAAACACACGCACACACACACACACGCACACACACACGTGCGCACGCGCGCACGCACACACACACACACACACACACACACACACACACACACACACACACACACACACACACACACAGGCAGCCATACCGTGGTTGGACATACAACATTCACAGCACCCTGGATGGAGGAAGCTGGATAACAGCAATACAAACGCTAGACAATCCAAAAAAACTAGAAATAAACACTTCTGTAAACACCATTGACAGCAATCAGTTATTCTCTACCTCCAAATCTTTCATACAAAAAAAAAATAAAATAAAAAATTATAAGAAAAAGAAAAATGAAGGCGAGTTACCATTAAGAAAACGTGAGATCTAAAAATACAACCTGCAACCGTTTCTCTCTTCCTGGCCTGGACTTGTGCAGAAAGTGAGGTCTAAAGTCAGAGTTTAGAGACGGCGTCTCCTGCAAGTCACCCCTGACGAACTTGCACTGACGAGCCTCGTGCAGGCCATTTGCATAGCTCGCCCTCAGTTGCGCGCAGACAGGGAACACACGCACACACACACACACACACACACACACACACACACACAGGCAAACAAACAAACATGTGAGTTCTGAAAAAGGCGGCACGTTTGCTTAGGCAAAACCAAACTGAATGTGAAATTTGCATACACAGTCGCTCCTTCTCTGTAGTCCAATGGGGGGTATGCTAGCACCCATGCTATTGCATCTGTACAATAAGGAAGTCAGGGCTAATTTCTGCTGTGTGATACTACAGCTTATTGCCAACAGGATGAGCAATGCACTCCAACATACAGCCATAGCAGGCAGCCAGAACATTCAATGAGACTAATGCAAACACAAACATCACAGTCTTCAAATGGTATGTTCAATGGAAAAAAAAAATACAAATAAGGAGATGATCAAAGAAGTAATATTTTTTCAACTCAGAATAAACTATTTCACATACAATATATCATCTTTTCCCACTATCTTCACTTGTGGATTTGGCATACCTTGTGCAGAACCAGCTGCAAGAAGTCCACTCGGTCAAAGTTGCTGTGTGGCGGTCTAAGGTTAATGTTTCCATGCAAATGTTTTCACAGGTTGTACTGCATTTATGAAATAAAACCCATAATAAATTAAATAAACGACAATCCAAGCCCAGGATCATGTCAGCACATTTAAGTCATACTCTTGTAAAAAGCGTGCATGTGCGGCGTGAGCGTGCACTTCAGTGTGTGTCGTCACCTATTTTTAGTAATCAAGCACAACAGTGCAGGGCGGCTAATCGTCGTCAGAAGAATGATGTTACGGAACAAAAAAATAAATAAAATAAAACAAACAAAACAAAAAACCTTGAGGAATGGATGCTGAAGGCCAAAATGGTGCAAAAGGCATGTGGAGACAAGCCCAGATGAGAAGTGATGAACTGTGGCACAAATAAGTGCAGCATTTATCCCTATTTTCTTATATGATTTATCAAACGTACTAATTTGGGTCTCCATTTTTTTCTTTTTGCATACAAACAAAAACAAAAGCAAAAAAATTAATGAACAAAGAGCAAAGATCGTCAACTAAAAAGTCCTAAAGCAGTGCTGCAACTGGTGAGATATGGCTGATGTCCCAGAGGACTTTGATTCCCAGGTGTTTAGCAGTCCAGCTCTGTCTGCGTCAGTAGTCAGCTATGGGTGCAAGCTTTCTGCTCAAGCTGACTGTGATGTTGGTGAAGAGGGGACTTCTGGAGACTAGCGGGAAGTAGTTTAGGTTATTAAGACCATCCACTTTCTGTCGCTCCTTTGAGTGACGTAGAAGAGTATACCTGCAAGCACAAAGAAGAAAACCAATCAGACGAGGAGAGAGAGAGAGGACAACTAGATGTTGGATAAGGTGGGCCTGAAAAGAAACTTGAGCTTTAATGGCACACTTGGCAGTTTTGCTTGCTTTTAGCACCCCATAGTGTCCATTATTAATCCTCTGTGGTCAAACTGAAAATGAAACGCATCTCCTCGCTGCGCGTTTGTCCTTCTAACACTTTCATCTAACAGCTGAACCCTCTCCCCAGCCTTCATTAGTGTCTACAGGAGAGATTCTTCACTAAATTAAACAATTCAGCTGTGTTCATGATCTAAAACATGCATTTCTGATCCAAGGCTTGCATCACTGGCATACAAAATTGTGAAAAAATAAATAAAAACACATTTCAGAACACTGTCGTTTGAAATCAGTTGTGTCAGAAACCTGTTACCATCACTTGTCAGTTATTGGGGGATTACTTATGAAAATGGGCCTGAGATCAACTCCAAAAATGTTTTGATTACACTGCAAGCTCTCATGTGGAGGCCTGGATGGGACATATTCATTTACTTCCTTTCCTCTGCAAGCTTGACACTTCTCTTGACATCGGATCACAGTCGTGGTGACACGATAAGATGTTTTTATTCCTATAAATGTCAGAAATTGCACAATCTTCTTCCACAACATGGCACACTTCTGATGATAACCCGGGGATTGCATGGTGTAGCTTTCGTGCACAAAAACACGAGAATATAGAAACATCCCAAAACATCATTATTCATCAAAAGGACTAAAACTGGGGGGTGTTTTGAAAGCATGCAGCGAAGGGAGCTAAATGCTTAAACGCTTCAGAGAATGGTCCTGATGAGTAGACAAAAGCACACGAGCATTCATAAACACGGAGGCACTATGTGGTGGAACAAGTTTCATAAAAACCTGGTAAATATTGTGAGCGATACCATGCACTCTTGATTTTGACAAAAGAAAAAAAAATTATACATGTAATCATTAGTCTTGCTTTATTTTTTTCTCCCATCAGGACGAGTTCAAATAAGCTTTTATCAGCTTTATCTTGAGTCAACTAACACTTTTAAACCCATTATGAATGTTTTAATGACTCTCATTGACAAATCAAAGCAGCATGACTTCCTTGGGTGGTTTTAAATCACCTAGGAATCTGCCCCTGAAGCTTTCAGGCACATCACATGAAAAGTCTTTAAAAGAGCTGAAATTCTCAAAGTCACCACTCTCGCTTTTCATGTGACTGGCTTACATCACATGAGCCTAAGCCTCATTGAAATGATCAACTCACTCCTTTAGCCAAACGCTGGTGTGTGTGTGTGTGTGTGTGTGTGTGTGTGTGTAGGTGTACGTGTGTGTGTAGGTGAGAGGACACTAACCTTCCCAGGAACTGGGCTTCCCCACGATGATGGTGGGGAATGGACATGTAGCGTCCCTGGTCTCCTTGCGGTCTACTTACGGTGTAATTAGCAAACTGCACCCTGTACAAACACATTTAATGCTTTTTAATCCACAATGTACACAATCAAGCAGGAGAGGTATAGTTGTAATGGATGAAGCTGTAACATGACACTAGAAGCAGGCAGGACTCTATACCACAGGTATAAAGAGATGCACATATAATACTGTGGAAGTCTATATTAAAAATCCAGTATGTGTGCAGGTGGCTGAGACCTGTATAGGTGGGGGAATGCAGCAAGGCAAAGACAAACACAGGAAAGTAAACAACAGTCACAAAAGGCTGCTATGTACCAATTTATCTGGCAAACACACCTAAAGCCAACAAATGGCGTCACCCTCGTGCAGCAGTTCCATCGCGTGGCTTATCTGTGTTCCTGGGTGTGTTTGTGTTTTTCCTCACCTGTTCCAGAGGTCGTCGTCCTCGCCTCCCCAGCCCCAGAATGCATTAGGAAATCCATTGATCTTTTTGAACTGCTTCACCATGAGGCCACTGACACCACCAAAGAACTCATTGTATGGAAGCCTGGTAGGGAGTTACAGGCACCGGAGTCATTTCATGTGAAAAATCAGTTTATAGTAACTTTATAGGGACATAGAACCAGCACTCACATGTAGGAGTACTTATCGAGTTTAACTGCAAAATGTCTGGGCATGTCTGTGCAGCCGTAGTAGTTCCTGTCGTTCTCCATGAGGTGGTCTACATCGTGGAAAATCAGACAGTCCCAGTCCAAATCTTTCATGGCCTCCTTGAAGCCCACGTTGAACAACATGGCTCGGTTAAATGGTTCCGTACCCCCCTAAACAGGAGATAAAAAGATTTTTTGGGTGATTTAATTTCAGTAGACTGTTCCTATCAATATTTGTATCCATCAAAACTCATTTGCTCGTGTGAAACCGGTGATTTTTCCGCCTGGGGCACAAACGGGTGTGGACATACCTGCTCTATGACATAAAAGGCAAACTGGAGTCTCTGCTTCTGCAGCACAGGCACCAGGTGTCTCAAGAGGATGGGCAAGTGTTCATGTCGGTTCCTGAATGGAACCAGAATCGCCACCTGGGAATGCAAATTAGAACACAACAGACATCAATTAAATTTTGAAATAAATATGTAGAAATACACAAAGGACGCCCGCCGAGTCATGGAGCAGCTTGATGTGCGTGGTTCAAAGCGTGTGTTTCTGAGAGCTGATCTATTAGCAGGAGGTAAAAAGGAAAACGTGGGTAACAGCGTTTGTATAAAAACTCGGAACAAAAAACTTAACGACAGGCTTATTAAATCTGACATGAATCATTAGGTCCAAGATATTTGTGGGAAACACACACAAATGCTTATAAGTCACCTAAGAAAATAACCAACAAAGACCTGTCTGTCAAGCAATGACATAAAAAAAAGTCAAAATGCATTAGGAGAAGAAAAGCAGATTATTATTTATTATTGCCGAGTACGTGAGTAAGACTCACGTTACCAGGAATTTGCTTTGGTGGAATAGTGCAGACATATAGATGCATCGAACACCATCTGATAGATGTGCTTTGTTAGCTTCTTCAAAAAAAGTCTCCTCCACTATGTCAGCAACTAATGCATGAGCTGCTAAATCTTAGACCACACCCTTCAATAAGAGTTAGCATTTTATGTTATGTCTGAAATGATGCTTGTAATCTTGGATGATTGTTTGTTAATAATGTCATAACAAGTGGTACCAAGAGATTTACGAGAAGATACCCACATTCCACGTTAAAGAATTAATATGACATCATAATAAAGCTTTAAGAGTACATAAATGAATCTAATGCAGATCTTTCCTGGTTTCATACTTCCCTAGATGACTGAAATACCCTTTTTTATAAACATATGTGTTGCATCATCAGAAAAAACTGAAAAGCAGATCAGTGTAATGTGATGTAATTCAATAGTTCAAACTAACACACAGAGAAGAAGTGGACCGATATGTCAGTAAGCCGATATATCGGGCCGATATTTATCATTTTTTATGCATCGGCAGATATACCTCCTTAGTAAATCCGATTTAAAGCCAGGCACATCACTGGACAGCCTGGTGTTACTGCAGAATTTTATTTTAATGCATATTTACATTCCTGAAAAACATCTGCTTAATAAATGGTCAAAACTTTTTTTTTCCCCAACTAAAATTTATTTTTATTTACCAGTTTTTAAAATTTAATATGTTTACTAATTTATTTGAATAAATTCAGTTAGATGTCTGATTTTAACACTGAGCAGTTCACAAAATTAAGATGTAACAGTTGGTTAAACTCGGTCTTCACAAGCTGATTCAGCTTCAGAAGTTTTGTGAATCAACTGATGTCGTTAGTCACTTCATAGCACGAGAGGAAGACGTCTAGATATCGAACATGAAAATCAGCCCAAAAGATCATCAGCACTAATCGGCCACCTATTGGTATCGGCAAAAAAAAAAAAAAAAAAAAAAAAATTGGTCAACCTCTAATACAGAGGTGGTTGAAACTCAATTCCATCTGACTTCTGCCAGAGCATAAACCCACTCCACAGAGTCAGTCTGGACTTTACAGGAAAAATGCACATTGCTTCTCCAAATCTCTCCTATGAGGCATTTTACTATTAGCTAAAGGTCTTTTGTACCATTTTGCAGCCTATATGGAGGGATAATGCGTCGGTTACCCTACTGGCCAGGCTGCTCAGGCTCGTCAGCCCACTCTCCTCTTGACAGCGTCACTACACACTTACCTTCCAACGAGGTAAACAGTCTGTGGGCTTCCAGAAGCCTCCTGGGGCCATGCTAGGCTCTCGCTCCAGCGAAAACCTTTCGACCTCCTCCAGAGATATTTCAGTCATGTTCACCTCCAATCTGCCCTCTGAGTGTGGACACAGAAGAAAAAGCGATACACAAGTCAGAGATTTTATAAGGACAGAAAAGTCCACGGCGATGAGAAGGAAGGAGAAGAAGAAAAGGGAAAAAGGAGAAGAAGGCGAAGGAAATACGACAGAGAAAATGTCAAATCAGGGACACCCAAGTTGAGCTGTTACAACGCATTTGCATGCATCATCAGTCCAAACTGGAATAAATGTGTGTTCTGAACCATCTGTCAACTCATTACAACAACAAATACTGTACACACCAAGAGAATCATAATATTGTTTCAGTATTAAAATAAAGACGGTGCAAGGATTAGATAACAGACCCCCCCAAACACGCGAATGACTGTCGGACTTACTCATTGAGGGCAGCTTCTCAGGGCAAACCTGCGAGGGGAGGTATGTGAAACCCTCAGGGAGGTATGTCGTGGGAGGGGCGTCACTCTCGCTGAAGTTGAAGTCATAGGAATAATCTGGAGTTACAATGAACAAGTATAAACACATCACTCACAAGTCAGGTTTAATTTTAATGTCTTTCTACAGAAGCTGAATGTATCATTTCTTTTCTCTAGAAGCGTGCACGCATTCCTGAAACACGTGCACGAACTGTAAATCTGGGACAGCTCCAACCTCTAGCTTTTATTTTTATTTTCAAATACTCAATCAACAGACGTAATTGAATCCATACTTATGAGAAAGACTAAGAACTCCTAAGATGTTTTGGATGTGTGCATGATTGTGTTTTCACCTGTCCCATTGATGCTGTAGGCCCCCCTCACCACTTGCTCTAGAACCTGAGCTCCAATGTTCTTCACGTTCTCTCTGATCTGGATGCCCCTGGCCTGAACCATGAAAACATACTCATTCA